AGAGGCCCCAAATGAAAGACCTGAGTTGTAAACTTGCTACAGATCCAGGCCTGATCAGGTCAGGAGATAAGCTGGCGAGTTCCATGAGAGAAGGGAACACGCTCTATTTGGTCACCAACATGTCCTTAGGTAGCATACATCGTCCATGATCTGCACTCAATACATATTTGTTGAAGGCTAATGAATAAATGACTACCTTAATAAATGAGTGAATGATTTGTTGGAGGAATGCCCCCAAGAATACTGTGGAAGAGGCAGACTAGATAGAATATTGGGCAGCACTCAGGCTCAGGCACCAGCTGGGAATGTGTATGGGGCTTTGCTCCTTATCAGCTCTGTCCTTGGCAAGTCACTCAAGCTCCTCTGGCCTCAGTTTCCTCCTGGGATGAACATAGTATGTGCCACCCAAGATCTCTTTTAAAGACTTGTTCCCTTCAGCTATTGGGAGTATCATTAGCTAACAGCCTCCAGCTCTCAGGCCCTCCAGATATTGTCTAAGAGCCACGTCACCTCATCTCATGCCCTGCCTAGAGCTGCCCGCTCCAGTGACAAATCAAGGTGGGGTATGAAGGCCCTGGCCACTTTGGCCAATGAACAACAACTCTGATTCCAAAGCTGCCGTGAGGTCACCTGAGATCATCGTCCAGCCCGCATCGCCGCTCACCTCCTCCCTCTGCCCAGTCTTGCTCCCTTCCTCTCCCTTCCACAGGTGTTGACCCCAAAGTCACTCCCTAATAACCAACTTGAACTCTAAACTCCATCCCAAAGGCTGCTTCCCAGAGAACCCAGTCTGTGACCCACCTCATTTGCAAAATAGAGATAATAAGTACACCTACGGGTCACCCTGAGGACTAAATGAGTTTCTGTGTGTAAAAGCACTCAGCTAGAGCAAGAGTGAGCCAACTTTGTTATGGGGGTCAGTAAAGGCCAGGCCTTTCATCAGCATCCCCACCCTCACTGGCAGGAGCCCAAAGAGAAAATGTCAAGGTGCCCCAGCATGATCCGTGGCTAAGAGGAGTAGTGGAAGGAAGGAAGGAAGGAAGGAAGGAAGGAAGGAAGGAAGGAAGGAAGGAAGGAAGGAAGGAAGGAAGGAAGGTTGCTCCCCCACCGCTACGCTCGTCCAGGAGTTTGCACCTAGAAAAGCCCTTTTGATGCTATTTACTCATAAGGGTCTCAGATACCAAAGGCCTAACCCATATGATTCACCCAAATTGCTGGATGATCCCACACAACTTGACGGTATTTATTTATTTTGTACATTGAGGTGAACAATGGCACTATAGCGTGAAATTGAGTTTCAGTGGAATACAACAGAAAGAAGCCAATTATCCAGCATTAATTATTTATCTGGGGACAATAACCATGGTGTTATTCTCCATGAGAGAGGCCTCTGCAGCTTGGAACAAGAGGGAAAAAGAGGTGGCTGCTATTGTCTGCTCATAATGCATCATCAGATTGCATAAATGGACCCCTCTGACATCCTGTAAATACACACGAGCCCTCTCTGTGAATGTGGCCCATGCCCAGGACCCCAGACACTTACAATTAATAGGGAGACACAGGGTTGGATCCCCCAATGTTCTGGGAAGGCCCGGCAATCCTAAGCTGTGAATCTATTAAAGGAAATACCACCTTCTCTCTGCAGCCCACCCTGCCCTATAAGAACTGGAAAGATGAAGACAATTCTAAACAAACATTTTCTCAGGTTGCTGTGTTTATGGCCAGCCAGAATGCCTCGAGTCGTATTAGTCCATGGCTTTCCTCTCAAGGTATTTGCTGTATAATATCAATTAGAAACACTATCTTACCTCCAAAAAAAAACACAGCAGTTCCCCTTTATCTGCAGGAATACATTCCAAGACTCCCTGTGGATGCCTGAAACCATGGATAGCACCAAACCCTACACATACTATGTTTTTTTCCTGTACATACATACTTATGATAAAGTTTAATTTCTAAATTAGGTACAGTAAGAGATTAATAATAAATTAGAGCAATCATAGCAATATACTGTAATAAGAGTCATGTAACTGTGGTCTCTCTCTCTCCAGAACTATCTTATTACAGTGTATTCATCCTTCTTTTTGGGAGGATGTGAGATGATAAAATGTCTATGCGAAGAGATAAAGTGAGGTGAACAGCGTGGGCATTGAGACATAGCATTAGGCTACTGTTGTTGACCTTCTAACAATATATAACAAGCACTTTACAGCTTCTCTTTGGCATATGGGAATTGCCAGCATCACCACTCTTGTGCTTTGGGGCCATTATTAAATAACACAAAAGTTACTTGAACACTGTGACAGTCAATCTGATAACGGAGGCGGCTACTAAGTGACTAATGGGCAGGTAGTGTCTACAGCGAGGATGTGCTGGACAAAAAGATGACTCATGTCCCAGGCGAGACAGAGCAAGACAGCATAAGATTTAATCGTGATCCTCAGAACAGTACACAATTTAAAACTTATGAATTGTTTATTTCTGGAATTTTCCATTTCATATTTTCAGACCTTGGATGACCACAGATAACTGAAATCTAATTTCTAAATCTTTTTTTTTGTAATTTAATTTCCTTTTATCCTCATAACTTCTGAGGAATTTGGGATTGGGGGAGGAGAGAGAGAGAGAGAGAGAGAGAGAGAGAGAGAGAGAGAGAGAGAGAGAGAGAGAGAGAGAGATGGGTGTTTCCCAGAGGCTGAAAGGGTGCCAGGATCTGATGTACCTTGGTCCCCTAGTTTCTACTCTGGGACCCAGTCTTCATCTGAAGAAGACATTAACATTGATGGAGCATTTCCTGTGTGCAGGTAAGTGTTGTATACACATCATCTTAAATTCTCACAACAACCCAGTGACGTAAGTATACATGTCCCCACTTGATAGCTGAAGAAACTAAAGCCGAAGGATACAGCTAATAAGGAAAAGAACCAAGAATCAAGTTGAGGCAGTCCCAACTTCTAAGCACTGTCCTAAACTGCCCTGTGACGATAGCTTCCCCACCCTCAGCACAGGATCTGATCTGGCCATCCCAGGATCCATGAGGTTCTGTGGAGATGTCCCCAAGCACAATTGCCAGAGCTGCTACTGCCCACCTGGCTACATAGGTACAGACTTACTGCCTGGTTCGGACAGGAGCTGGGAAAACTAAGATTCCATTTCATCAAAACCGGTTCCACATTCTCCTGGTTTAAAATATTAGGCTACTGGGAGTGTCTGTCTGTGATTTCTTATTTTCTCAGTGAGGCTGCTTGCTAAGAGGAGTCAGGGGAGGGATTCCTGACTGAATTCGCTAAGATCACCTATATGAAGAGCCACAGGGGGCCTCTGACATGCAGCAGGCACTCGATAAACAATAGCTCCCCATATGTAGCTCTCACTGCATGCATTTAATCCATACATCAATACTATGTAAGTACTCTTACAACCCCCATTTTATACATGAGGGAACCAAGGAGCTGATGGGGTTGAAGAACATGCACAAGGTCATACAGCCAGTAAGAGGCAGAGCCCAGCTTCAAAGCCAGGCAGTCACATGTTCAAAGCTGATGACACTCATCTCCTGAAAGGCCATCAGCCATTCCAAGCCAAGTTCCCGTCTCTGAGAGCTCACCTGGATCTTGACAGGTGTGATTCTCACAACATCTGAGCTCTACCTTAGACACACTTGTGGGAAGATATTTGAGCCCAGAGAGGATCCCTTATTGTCAGCTTCAGGCCACATAGGAAACTCTAATCTATATTTCTAACAGTGTTCTCAGCCCTGAGTAATAGGCATGACAGTTTTCACACCCTTAACCCTTTTTTATAATGATGACTTTGCGGGAAGCAAATTGATGCCCTCATAGAAGTTAACCTAGTTCTAGTAGACTTTAAGCAAATATTTAATAATTCTTTTCTGATTTTGAAAGCAACACACATTCAAAAAAAAAAAAAAGACAAACCAGTACTCAAAAACCAAACACAATACAGAAAGAAATGATATAAGTTGAAATGCCCTGTAATTCAGGTGGAAGGTTAAGGACAGAGTAAAAGTACGCTGTGAGTGATGCAAGCAGTACATAAAACAAAACAAGACTTGACAGTCTTGCAAGGGCTACTTGGATTCTGTTGCCCCATTAAAATGTCTCAGGAAAAAAAAAAAAAAAGCCCAGGCAGAACCCTGAGCACTCATGTTGCAAAGTTCCTCCATAGAACAAACCTGCATCAGTGTGGCCATCTCCCCAGCTTGCCCAGGATGGAGGAGTGGATGAGTTTCCAAGGACACCAAAATCTCAGTACCAAAATCAGGACAGTCCTAGCTACTTCAGGACATTTGGTCACTGGAGATTTGGTGCCCTGGTACTTTTACCTTTGGTCCTTAACCTGGCTTCCAGGACCAGCCAGGTCTCCATACCTTTTAGCCGTGTGAAGGCAACTCTGGGATGCCCCAAGTCTCTCCTTTTTCTCATCTCATCATCTGGGCTTCACCTTCTGCTCAGTGTATCCCTCCCTCACTCTTCCAGGACCCTACCACCCAACTCAGGGCAGCAAGTATTTCCCAAGGATCCTCTCTGTGCTCAGTTCTCTTCTTGATACTCTAGGGGGAAGAGAAGACACCTAAAGGTGGACTGAACCAAGAGACTCAGAAGGAAAACTCAATAACCCCGAGATCCCTCTGCCTCCAGTGACTCCGACTTCCTGGCCTAGGGGGAATCAGGAACCTCCTCTGGGGTCCCCTATCTTAGCAGCACACCCTATTCGATTATCGGCTTCATTGTCTGCCTGGATCTTAGGCTGCAGCTCCTTGGAAGGTAGGATGTGCCTGATTCCTCCATGTTCCAGGGCCCAGTTCCATCTGTATTTTCTGAGTGAACTGGGCATCCACAATACCTTGTCCTAAGCTTCCTCTCCAGGGCAGTACATGGAGAGAAGGGGCTACCTACAGTCTCAGGATCCTGGGGCTGAGTTTCCGCCAGAGTCCAGATGGGGCAGGTATGGCCCTGAGAGACAGCTGTGTGACTTACCGCTGACCCGGCAGGGGGATGGAGTCCAGGTGGCGGCCTCCAGGCAGTGCCATCATGTTGATCCCAATCTGTAGCAAAGCCTGCCCACAGCGGTCGGGGCCCTGGAAAGAGAGGGCAGGATGGGATGAATGAGGGCCCCGAGAGAGGAGGCGCAGTCACTTGTTCTCCTGGATCCTGGCCACCAGGCAGGTGCAGATGGAAGAGCCCCTCACCCTCCTCTGCTTTTTGAACCACTTTACATTCTGCTGTCCTCACACAAGTAATGCAGGACTCAGATTTGATCTCGGCTCTAAGTCCCTAGCCCACTGTAAACTATACAATCTCTTTTCTCCCGTTGTCAAATATCAGCCTGACTCTTTTTGCTTTGTAACAAATATTGGAACACCAGACCAGCAAAAATTACATGGGAAAAATTTATACTTAAAACAGTTATCTATGGTTTACCTGAAATTCACATTTTACTGAGCATCCTATGTTATTTGTTAAATCTGGCTACTCCACATGCTGGTTCGCTACCTGTACACCATTGCAGCACTGGGTTACTCACTCTGATTTAGCTTGGAAAATGTGACTCTGTAATGGGCATGGTGGTTGCTTCCCCAAAGCCATTCTAGTTCAAATGATGTAAATTCACCCAAACTGCCAGTAATTCGTTCAGGAATAGGCAAGTGACTCAATTTGGACCAATGAGCCATGACAGAATTGCTTCTAGAAGAAATTTTGTTTCTCCTAACTGTGAGCCACAAGGTGAGACAGTATGTCTCCCATCGGACCTGAACAAGGAAGAACAGCACTTCATTACCACTAGAGACGACCTTGCAATCAGGCAAGGAACTAGCTGGAGAAGAAAGCTGGCACACGGAGAAAAGAAATCTGGGTCCTTGATCCCTGAACCACTGAATCAACCACTCATGGAGTTGGGCCCACCTCTAGGCTTCCTGTTATGTAAGATAATGAAGTTCTTGTTGGTTACGTGAGGATTTGGGTTCTGTGCAGACAAAAGCAACCTAACGGATAAAGGCAAACCAGGTTCCAGGGGCTCCAATCCCAGCACTGAGGACCCCCCTGGTTTGCCTGTGCTTCACAGGTTGGATCAAGACAATAGCGTCCATCTTCCTCCATAAAACCAGCAGCTCACCTGTTTGTTTCCTCCTGCCTGCCTTGCCCCTTCCCCGTTCCTCTCTCTCTCTCTGCCACCTCCTCCTTCAAGTCAATAAAGAAGCCCTCCCTGTGGAAAATAGAGATTCTGTCACCATTGACTGAATAAAGTAATAAAAGGCATGGTTGATTGTCACCTGCCATGCTCTGAGCTTGAGGATAGCAGATTTCAAGACTTTCAGGAAAAAACACAAGGATTGAACTTGTGGAAAGAAACAGCGGAGGAGGGTGAGATAAGCCTAAAAAAATTAAACTCTTACTCTGTGATTACAAGTGACCCTTATGAGAAAAGGACGTAGGAGGACTTTAATTAATAGTGATGTGGCTGGACATAAAGTACCCCTTGTGATGCCTGGAATGAAAAAAATAAATGCGTCAATCTGAAAAGTATGGGGAGGCAGGAAGGAGCCCAGAATAAACTCCAGCTTCAGAGAATACCAGAGACTCACTGCCACTTTCGTTGTCTACGGGCCCCGCTAGACGGTGCGTCTCTTGAGGGCAAGAACCACTTGTGTTCCTGGCACTGAGTGAAGAGCTGGACACTTAGCAAGCACTCTGTGTGCCTGTTGAAAGGATGAGCGAAATGAATTTTTAATACCTTTATGCTGAGCCTTAACTCTTCATCTGTAACTGAGACTAATAACTACTTTACAGAACTCTGTAACAATGACATGAGATAAGGAATATGGAAGTGTCAGGCCAGGATGAGAGCTAAATAAATAGAAGCTGTTATTATTATTATTATTATGTCCTCAGAGTCTGCTGTAGGCACAGCCCCGTGATCAGATAAGGGAGATGCAGAAAATGAGATAAAGCGTCTGAAGCACCGATCACAATGACAGCGTGCGTCAGAAGTATCGGCATTGTTATTTCTATCATTATTACCGTTATTGAGAAAGTATATTTTGGGAACCCAGTGAGTGAGTCAGCAGCCTGAAAAGTATGGCACAAAAGAAAAAGCTAGAAGTAACAAAATGAGGTATCTGTTCCCTTTGTAATACATTTGACTAACTTCTCCGAGTGAGTGCTGTGATGTGATCAGACACCAGTAAACAACCAGATCTTATTTTACCTCCATCTTTATCATGAAGTAGAAAAGGGAGAAGAGAAAAACTGTTGAAGAGGGAATTAAAGTTTAAGGCAGGTGAGGAGTCAGACAAGAAGGAAGTCCAAGTTCCTTTAAAGTGTGAACCCATTAGACCCTGTGACAAAAAGAAGCATACCCCGGAATTTTAGAGGAACCCCTGGATCGGATTGAGTTGTATCTGAGGGATCCACAGAGAAAGGGAGAGCTGTCGTGAACAGAAGCCTGGATGCAAGCAGATCTGAATTCCTAAGAGGCGGATTCCAGAAACACAACTTGGTGACCACAGAATCTTAGTCCAGATTCCTAATCACTGATCTGTGAGCCCTTTGGATGGGAGCAGTGAGCACGAGATGCCAGCTAGGGCACAGTAGAAACTAGTCATGCCCAAACAACCGATTTCCTTTCCGTTAGTGACCACGGGGCTCTTAGCAGTGGGGAATGCAGTTAACCTAATGTATCTTGATTTTTTTAAAGCACCCTCATGAGATGTCCTTCTTCATCTATTTCATCCATAGGTTCCCAGAAGTTATGCCAATGGAGGCTGTCAGCTAACAAAACCTTGGTTCATGTGATCACATGTGTCCCCAGAGGCTGGGGAGGCCTTTTGAGGACATCTGGGCTGTAATACGAATTACTGTCCTAGTCACAGACTGTATTACTTATGACCGCCTCTTTTCCCCAATGGGACAAGACTCCTTGATGTCTGAAATCACATCTTGCTCAATGTGGGAGTGGGCATGGGACCTGCACAGCCGAAGCTGGGATTGTGAATCAGATTAGCTCTTGGATGAGCCACCGTTCATGTTCACTGGGAATGAGAAACAGGTAAGAGAGAATATCTACAAGATGAGATAGGGAATATCAAGAGTTCAACCCAGCTAATGTTATTCAAGTGCCTCTAATAATAAATAGCTAATATTTATTGAGTGTATACTGTGCCCAGCCCTGTTCTGAATGCTTCGTATAGCATTAACTCATTTAATACTATCATCATCCCCTTGTTACTGATGAGACCACTGAAATTCAACGGAAATATGTCCATAGCTCAAGATCACACCACTAGTAGGTGAAGGCGGACTAGTATCCAGGTTTGATGACTGGAAGAAAGTTGCTGGAGCAGATGAAGATGATGAGAGCAACAAACAAGTGACACATGTCCAGCGTTTGCTAACAGGCTGCCTGGCTCCATTCCATGGTGGCAACACATAGCCCCCACCCTTCACTGACAGCCAAGCCCTCTGCCCTCTTCCCAGCACCTCCCACTGCTCCCACCTCCCAGACTGTGAGTCCTCCAGCTTCACCTCGGGCCGGCCCTCGGCCAGAGGACAGAAGAATAATCCCCAGAAAAATGAAGCAAATCATAAAAACTGCACCCAAATGGTGGGAGAAAGAGGGGCACAGACAGTAAGGACGTCCCTTCTGTTCCGCATTTGCTGGTTCCTTTGGTGAAAGTCATCTGGGCAGAGTTATGTACTCTAAAGAGATCAGGGGAGGGGACACCACAGTTCCAGCTAAAGCCTAAAGTCTCACTAGCTTTATAGAGAGACCTGCTTCAAGCATGCAGCCCTAGGGAAGCCCCCATGGCCTGCTGCCCTTGCAGCCATCCCCTCCCGTTGCCCTAAGCTGGACTCATCCTATGAAGCAGAGATTATCCCTCCAAAGCTACACAGCATGTCAGGAAGCCAAGAATGGATTCAAGGTATCTCCTTGGCCTCATGCTCTCTGTCCTCACTGGTGTTTCACAATAAACTTAAATTTTGGAGTCTGACAGATCTGGATTCCAATCCTGACTCTGTGGCTCATTAGTACATGGCCTTGGGGAAATCATCAACCCCCCTGAAGGTGTTCTCCTCAATTATACCTGCCTCCTGGGAGCTTCATAATGCGATGACTCACAAAAGCCCCTAATAGATAATATATTATACATATCATTTGCTTGGCACATGGTAGTCCCAAAGAGGGCATGTCCTTTCTCAGGGAAAGAGGAGTTGAGACATATATCTCAGGGCAGAGATGCTGCCTTGCCCATGAAAGATGAGAAGGATACATGTAGGAGTGAGTGAGAAAGAGGAAACTCCATCACGTCTCCGCTACCCCAAGGGCCTTCCTAATTCATTGGAAATGCCACAATGGAACCTGCAGCTTTGATTCTGCAGGGCTCTTGGCTGTGCCTCCCCCACCAGGAGGGGCTAGTTTACAAGAAAAACTTGAAGCCGTAAGTGTCTCTGATTTAATTCAACGCCTGCTGGGACAACCGCTCATTTGGACAGCTCATTTCTCTCCTGCATCCCATTAGAGGCAGCCCTTGCTCACCTCCATTTGGCTAACAAGCCAGCCTGGGCTCTGGAGGAAATGGAGGCTATTTACAGTAAATTATTCAATTAGAACCAGGAGCAAAGGCGGTTTCTGCCCGTTGTCTAATGGGCCAATCCGAGTACAGCTGAAGGCAAGGCTAGGATTGTTTAATCTGCAGAATCCATTAGGGCTGTCAACAGGGGCAGGACAGTAAATATTGTGGAAAGCAGTTAAGCTCTAGGCAAAGCGTTAGATAGGAGGAGGCAGCATTGGGGGGGAGGGGGTTCTTCAACGTTGAGGGGAGGAGGGTTAGGAGAGGAATGAGACCTGGGGATTCAGTCAAATTCCTCATTATATGGTCCCCTACCCGCTCTTTAGCTCTCCTCCCATAGAATTGACCACAATTGTAATTAAACAATTAACTGGAAAATTAGTAGCCTAACATCTTTATCCCCTGAGGGTCCCAGGGGCAGGGACTAGAGGTCTGTCCTACTCACTGCTATATCCCCCATCCCCCCTTCCTGACAGTGCCTGGTGCAAAACGACCAGATCAGTCGACAC